ATTTGCGTAACAGTTATTTTTTGTTTTTATTTTATTTTATTTGCGTATTTTATCACCTTTGGGGATTAATCTGCATCTCTATTGTTAATTTTCATGAAAACTTGATTGCGTGTGTGTGTGTGTGTGTGTGTGTGCGTGTGTGTGTGTAGGTGTGTGTGTGTGTGTGGGCAAGTGTGTGTGTGTGTGTGTGTGTGTGTGTGTGTGTGTGTGTGTGTGTGTGTGTGTGTGTGTGTGTGTGTGTGTGTGTATGTGTGTGTGTGTGCTATGCTTCTCTCTCTGTATGAAACTTTTATAAATATCTCACTAGTTCAAGGTATTTTTTTCTCTCTACCACGCAGCTTTTTTTTACAGAGAGAGAGAGAGAGAGAGAGAGAGAGAGAGAGAGAGAGAGAGAGAGAGAGGTGGCAGAGAGAGAGAGAGAGAGAGAGAGAGAGAGAGAGAGAGAGAGTCCCATGAAAAACTTTGATTAACTATGGTGATGTCATATAGCCGAACAGCCCCCTGTGCTTATAAGGGTTGAAAAAGTTTAACCACCAAGAAATATATAAAGAAAATATTATTCTCCCTCAATTTATTTTTAGAACTGACTTCACACACACACACACACACACACACACACATCCGGGAACTAAGGGAATATCAACATCCTGGTCTATAACATCGTGAAGACATTTAGGTCTCGCTTTCGGTTTCGTTCAGGTACCAGGTGAAATGGAACGATCATTTATACAACATCGTTCAGGTCACCTTCATCAGCGTGTCGGGTCATGAAGGTACTTTAAAGTTTCAAAGTAGTCAGCTTAGAAAAATAAATGGGGTGAATTAAGTACAAATTATTATTGAAGGCCGAAATATATACTGTATACTGTATATAAAGGCAACAAAAATTAGTACTTCCCCGTAGACTCTATTCTTCAATGTATGTATGTATGTATGTATGTATGTATGTATGTATGTATGTATGTATGTATGTATGTATGTATGTATGTATGTATGTATGTATGTATGTATGTATGTATCCCTCGAAGTATTAGGGAAAAAAATGAACCCAGGGCAAGTCAGGTCAAACATTAACCAGTTCCCTTAGGACGCGTCAGGTCAAATATTAAGTTGACCTCGGCCGTGCATCAAGCCACAAGCGGCCGGACACGACTACCACATCATCACAGGGAAGGGTGAGTGTATAATGGAGAGCCCTCATATTGTGTTTCCTGAGGCGGCCCCTGATTGTAACATTAGGACCTTGCTGTGCTTAGTATGTTAAGTCCAGTACCTCTCTCTCTCTCTCTCTCTCTCTCTCTCTCTCTCTCTCTCTCTCTCTCTCTCTCTCTCTCTCTCTCTCTCTCTCTCTCTCTCTCTCTCTCTGCATTCTTTTTATAGCTTTCCTCTTGTTCGATTATTCTTTTCTCTTTCTCTCAATCTTGTTTTTACTAGTTTGGTGAAATTTATCTTCTTTTGTCTTTCTCATTACCTGTCTTTCTCTTACCCTGTTTTCTTTCTCTCCCATTCTCTTTGCTACTAGTTTGGAATTTCCCCATTTTATCTACTTATCTTCTTCTCACTCTTTCTCCTATCTTCCATTCCTATTATTATCTTCATTACTAGATTCGAATTATCGTCTTCTCCCTTTTTTTTCAATTTCTATCCTTCTCTTATCCTCTTCCTTCTCTCCCATTCTCTTTGTTGTTAGTCTGGAGTTAACCCTTGCTATTTTTATCCCGTGTCTCGTGTCTCTATGCAGCCGCCGCGGTACAGTGGTAGAGAGGTCTGTTTTCACACCCACTGGGACATCTTTTGACCTCGAGTTGGCTTGGTGGGTCAAGCTTAGACAGACAGACAGACAGACACTCCTTTGTCCCTTTCCCTCTTCCCCATCCTGACCTCTTTTCTTCTCACTGACCTTCTTCTTCTTCTTCTTCTTCTCTTCCATTCCCAAATTCTTTCCTAATTTAACTCTTTTTCCCTTTTCACGTTTCCCTGTCTTCCTCCTCGTACTTCCCTTCTTCCTGTCTTCTTACGTGTGTGTCTATTCTCCCTCTCTCCCCTTCCCTATCATTCATTCCTCCTCTTCCCCCTTTCCTTCATTTCCTCCTCTTCCTCCTTGTTCTCTTCCTATATTTCTTCTCCTCTTCTCTTCCATTCTCTCTTTCCATATCTCTCCTGCCCCTCCCCTCTTTCCCTGTCCTTCATAACTTGTCTCTCTTTATCTTCTCTTGCTCCTTCTTCCTCTCTCTTCCTCCCCTATTCCTCCATTCTTACTCCTTCCCATCTTCTCATACACCCACTTCATTCCCTTCCTCCTATTTCCCTCTTTTCTGCTCCTCTCTTTCTCTCCCCTCACTCCCCTCTCCTCCTCTTCAGTCATTCCCCCTCCCATTCCAAATTTCTCCCCGTCCTCCTCCTCCTCTCGTTCCTCTCTCTCCCCCAACGACCATAACACTGTTCCCATGACAACACACCAACAGCTTCTTTCAGATTTTGAAGTTTTTTATTATTCTCT